GTTGTTTTGTAAATGTAGCATAATCTGATTGTTTTATTTGTAACTTGATAGGATACAGTAATTGAAAACTGACGAATGTCTACCTCTCCATTGTCCCCATTTTTTGGTTATATGTTTTGCACTTCTTGAAGTGGTAAATCATCTAAGCTGATTAAAACAGCATTGCATTTCAAGGAACTAAGGAAGGGCATATCAAAATAAACTGAAATAGAATTTAAAGTGTTGTGTGGTGTTATTTTTGAAGCCATAGACAAGTTTTTCAAGAGAATATCTGCTCTCCTGTATCAAGTAACCACATTTTTTGAGGCATCCTGCGTATCTCTCAGATGTAGCAGCACTGTGCTCCAAATCTTTTAAAAAATATAAGTTGTATTTTTCTGAAAATCTCATCCTTGCTGTGAGTGGTGAAACTCTGGAAAATCTGGTTGAGTCGGCAATTGTTGCCTGTGATATTAATATGTGGAATATATCCTATTATATTAAAATAAGGTGGCCAAAATTGAATATACTCTTCTGTGCCCTTCCTCAGGATGTCTTTCTTGGTACGGAGGTAAATGGTGTGGTCTGTTCTGCACTGAGGCTGAGAACCTTTGAAAAGCCTATAAAGCTGTTCATGTAATCCTAGCCAGGTTACCAAATATTCTTACTGCTTACCTTTGTGGAGGTCAAATGTTTACGTTAATGTGACAGAGACTGTTAAAGACATCCCTTTACATACTCTGACATATGCAAAGCGCGTGTCCCTGTTGTTCATCCGTACAGAATACTCATCTCTCTTTCAAGGTCACGCTGTGCAGTTAGAACAGCCATGATGTGTTCTGCTTGATGGATGTATCTGGTAATTAATTTTCGATTACTTTGGATTTGTCTTTCTTTGTAGGTTGATGATTCCAGTTGTGATGCTGAATTACTCTCCTTGCTCCTCAATGCCAAGTTAGTGGTGAAGTGCGTGTCTACAGCCTTCTATCCTCGCCTTGTTGACCACGTGCTGGCTAACCAGGGAGAAGGAGGCTGGGATGTGGAGGAAATAGCAAAAGAACTCAGAGAAGCCGGGTTCAGCGCAGAGGCTGGCTCCCTCTTAATGTCTCATCGAGGCACTCATCCTGCACTCAGGACTTTTAATACTGCCCTCCAGGCTATTCAGCATTGGCTCTAAAAATGTTGGGTTCATGAACTTGTCTGCCTTTTGGCTGGAGATTTTACACAAAAGGGAGAAACTGTTGTTCTAGTGAAGTAACCAAGTTAGTTATGAGCTACGTTTTATAGAAAATACCAACAGCACACTTACAGTGAATTCCCATATACTTCTAATAGTTAAAAAAAAATTATTAACTGTGTTATTCTGGTATATGACTAGCAGAGCATTGAATCTGATAATCCTTTTCAGATCAGAGAAAGGTGTTAAATGATTACACTCTGTGACATACAAATGAAGCATTAGAAAGCTGACAAGTTATAGACAATGTCTTAATTTCTGTAATTTACTCTTCTCATAATGTAAAACTAATGTAAAAATATAATTATAAAGATATATGGATCAGAAAAAAATTCACAATGAACAGCTGTATGAGAATATCAAAACCTTAAAATTTGGTATTGTGCAATGTTGTTGCCACAGCTTTTGTTCGCAATAAAGAAAGTATTTTGCATTTATTGTAGTCTTTCTTCTTTCCTCCTTTTAGACAGATAAGTGTGTTCTTTCTTCAGCCCATTTTTCTGAAATTCCTGTGTCTCCTTAGTGATATTTATTCATAAAGAGAAGCTGAACTTTTCTGTGCTTGCAGATGCTTTTAGTCTAGTTTCTAGCCTTTTTCTTTACTCTCTTTTTCTCCACAATTTGGGAAGCCTTTTCTCAAGTCCTAAACATTTGTTGATACTTTTTGTGAGTGAACTTTTCAAGTATTTAACCTGTATTTTTTCCTGACTTCTGAAAAATTATATAACTGTGTTTATTTCCAAACGCCTTTCTGTCTTAATAAGGCAAAATATTGCTGATTGTTTTCAGAGTTTTTTTTTTTTTTCAACAACAGTACTTTATTAACACTCATCACCAGAAGGGTTTGATGCTTTCATGTGTTTATAAGAATTTGTTGTTAAAATTTATCTGTAAATCTGTCGCCTAATCTTGTGTCCAGATGTCATTTCGACATAATGACATAAAGAATTATTACACAGAATAAGACCCATAGGATAATACAAGTTGGAAGCAATATCTAGAGGTAATGTAGTCTTTTAGTATCTTCTGTATGGTAGAATAGCACTTGGGGTGCTGTGAAACACCAAGACATGCTAGGAAATGCTGTCTTGTTTGTTTTGGATTTTGTTTGTTTTTGTTTTTTTTTTTGTGTGTGTGGTTGGTTGTTTTTTTTTGTTTTGTTTGCTCTGTTTTTTATTTTAAAGGCTAAGACACTCACCTTGGTGTTATCAACAGTATTTAAGGCACAGAGCAGTTCATTTTTTTCTGTTTGTTTCATGTGCAATTGGGATCTGTTCAGAATATGGCATGAGGTGACTTTTTTTACCCAAAACAAGCATGCTCTGGAGATGTTTGTGCTCCCAAAAGCAGGTGAGTAAGGAGCTCAGTTGTGTCTCCAGGAGCAATGCTTCCTAGGGCAATTAATCCTCTTTTGCTGGAAAAACACTGATAGTGTCTGCATCTTTGAGGACCTTTTTGCTGCCTGGTAGATGTAGGAAGGCAGCAAAATAAATCACCTTTCTTTTTAGTGAGTAGAACCAGAGATTAGGGAAGAAAGATCATAACTCACCATTTCTTTCTCTGCTAGAAATCCTAAGTGGAAACAGTACATCATTGCAACAGATGCAGAGTAGACACTTTTCTATTTATAAACAAAGCAGTGCAATTCAATGAGTGGGGTGGCCACATATGATTCAGATACTGCCTTTGTATAATGATTCTGTGATTTATTCTTTTTGATATTCTGCACTGTGAAAAGATGCTTTGAGACAGTGGCCGCAGAACGTGGATACTTTCATTGTAACGGTAAGAATTCCTGTCCTTGAAAAGCACAGCCATTTTTCAGGTTTCTTTTATGTACTTTTACTTTCCCTTCAAAACTCAGCAAACTGGTCAAGTAGTCTGTGCAAGGTCAGATTTTGTGAACCTGAGCAGACAGGAACCTGTGTCTCTCTCACCCAAAAAGCAGGGGTGCCAGGTGAAACCCTGGGCCGTTTGCGCCTGGGTGTGACAGCGGGTTCCCACCCAGCCAGCTCTTCTCCAGAGAAGTGCATTGCTTATGAAGAAGCACAGGAAGACAGCAGATCATGTAGGAAGTGAAGACTTTACCTGAGTTCATCTGTCAGCAGGTGAGTACCGACCAAGAAGGCTCTGGCCAAAAAGCAAATCAAGGGCATGACAACATCAAAACAGCCACAGCAGTTGAAGCAAGTGACAAAGGGGGCCTAGGCAAGGGTTTTGCTGGGGTTGTATTTCACTGCAAAACACACAGCAAGTAATGTCTAACACTTTGCTGGGTTATTGTTCTGATTGATGATAGACTGAGAAATTCTGAAGGAAGGCAATGAACACAAAACTAGAAGTGTACCACCTTCAAAAAGGATTTATTATTATAGCGTTGTCCCACCATGTCTGCCACATTTCTTACTTAAAAATTTCCAAGTTCCTAAATTCTAGTATTTTTGAAAGAGGGTACACACTTTTTGTAAATCCTGCCACTTGTCTCACTTCCAAGGTTGTATGACTTGATCTGTATGCCCAACTCATCACAAACTTTTCTATCAGTAGGGCCACCTCCTTTATTTATTTTCTCATCTTTCATTCGTTTCAAAGTGGTGTCCCTTTGTTTCAAAGTGTTATCCCTAATTACATCAAAAAAAGAACACAAAACCCCAAACCAAACCTGTATCACTGTCCATGCTTTGTTTTTATGGGCTTCTAATGTGTTAATTTTTTTTTCCAGCCTGTTGAGCCCTACTGTACTCAGTTATTTCTCTATACCCTTTGGTTATCCTCTTACCCCTCTGTATCTTCTGTGATATATTTTTTGAGGCATGGAAGGGGAGTAGTAGAGCCATGCCTTGAATCAAGTGTTGTGGACTAGTGGCATAAAAATGTCTTTCACTTTATTCAACACTTACTGAGTGCTTGAGGTAGTGGTTGCTTAGAATTGTTGTTTGACCCTGAGCTTGCTTTCTACATTGCCAACAGTCACCTGTCATACATTATTTTGTATGTGTTTTACAGTTTATTTTAATATTATCTTTCTCATGTACATCATAGTTACAAATTGAAGTCCATGGATCACCCGGACAGTACATTTCACAAAGACTGTGCTTGAGATAGTGGTTGCTTAGGATTATTGTGTTTGACCCTGAGCTTGCTTTCTACACTGCCAACAGTCACCTGTCATTACATTATTTTGTATGTGTTTTACAGTTTATTTTAATATTATCTTTCTCATGTACATCATAGTTACAAATTGAAGTCCATGGATCACCCGGACAGTACATTTCACAAAGACTTTCAACAGTTTTTCATCCAGCCCTCAGTTTTACTCAAAAACTTGTCTTCATCAGCACTCTGACACCTTTACTATTGCCCCCCTTTTGTAGACATGGAAAATAGTAAATTTGACTCTGTTTAGGAACATCCTGTACTTGAAAACAGCTAGCTCATTTTGCTGGAGCTGAAGCACATGTAGAAAAGCAGAAGAGTAGATAAAGGTCCTGTGGGTGAGGTGGGAGCTGGCCCAGGTAGCACACAGGAACAACCATGAAACAATGGATGAAATGTAAGCACTAAATTATTTTTTGCTACCTTGCCAAGTGGGGTGTGGCTGAAGCAGCACCCAGGGCAGAACCAGAGATGCCGGGGCACAGGCCCCACTGGCCTTGGTCCCTGCTAGGGGGTCAGGAGCCTGCTGTTTGCACTCCTCTGTCAGGGGCAGTTGACCCCTCTGCTCCAAGCTTTCCCACAATAGGCAGGAGCCTCTAGCACGGTCCATGGGGTGCCTCTAAGCCTGTCGCAGGCCTGTGTGACCTGAACACAGATGTTCTACTTGTCCAACACAC